CGACACTAGTAATACGCGTTTCCCGTTAGCGATCTAACATTTCCCGTTTGTCGAGGAGAATTACTTATTTAGGATCATTTAGAATCATTCCTTCGGACGATGATACCGACGGCAGACGAATCCTCGATAAAAGAAAGCTATTTTTGCCGAAAAAGTATACGAATACTATGCAGGAGAATACAAGCAATTAGAGAAATATACATTAGTTGTTGCATTTTTAAGTGAAATTCTGTACTTTAACGCAACTCATCACCCACTATTTCATTTTCTTTGATATGATAATACTCGACTATGGAAACTGAATATGATATTGAAAAAAAAATTATTATAGCGAATGGATTATTGACTTGTTTTGCATATAAATACAGATAGCACATATGCAGCGTATATTCAATCTTAATACATATACAGAATGCTGAAAATGTATGTACAAAATGTATGTACTTCCATTGCATCAATTTAATATTGATGTTTCACGAGTTTGATTGGATATTATCTTCTTTTACACTTATTTGAATATTACACTTATTTTGGATATTCAACATTAAATATCTTCAGAAATAACATTCTATTTAATTAAAATTCTCTTAAAATTAAATACAGTGAAGATTTATTATCTATTTGGATTAATTTTAGTAGTTTGCAAAAGGTCAATTGTTCTTTATCCCTTATAACTGGAGAAAGATCTTTTCAGACTCGCGTCGTAAAAAAACTTTGTTTGACGCTCAGAACAATCTTAAATAAAGTTTGTACACGTTGGCTTTTCAGCACCCTGTATAAGGAGGTAACGTTGCTGGGCGACGTTCAACGTGGCTGCCTTTCGCAACACCAAGTCCGATGCCGCGTGACGAGACGTGTAGCGCAATAATCGGTCGCAAAAAAAATAACTCATTCGACGGCAAGTAATTACAACCAGATTTGCATCGAACGGACCGTGACGAAATTCATTAAAGGACAATTCAATCCGAAACGATTCGCTGACCAACGGCGGCAACGCTAACCGCCATTTCCCGACGGAAATTCCGTCGTTAAAAGTGCAAGGCCTGTGCAACGCGAAAGTGACACGAGACGACCGTCTCTTATTTGCGTTTCCATTATTCGCGAAATCGATCCCGACTATGACTACTCCATTCGAGATACGCGCTAGAAAATACGGCGATGATCTTTTTTACAACGGCGAAGGCGGTTATCAAGGCGTGACTCATACAAATATATGTTGCATGCGCTTTTCCTTATTTACGTGCCGAAGGAAAAAAAAATAAAAAATTCTCTATAAGAGAAAAATCACGATTATGAAAAACTGCAATATTCTGCAATACCGCGTAAAATAATGCAGTAATCGGATAATTTGATGTCGATGCGTATGTGTCGAAAGGACCAGATCATCCTGGATGATCAAACAGATCAATTTACAAATGTTATTTCACTGGAATATGAATGAGAAACAGAATTATTGTGTAATTTTATACGCTTTTATCTAAATATAATAACGCATAAAGATTGTTTTTGAAAAATAATGCAATAAATTCGCCTCACGCTTGGAATGGAAATGATTGATTTCTGTTACAACTTTTTCTCTGTAAACTGAAATTTTTACAAGAAAACTAATCATTGCCAATGTTTATTAAGTCATATTGGTGGTTATTTTAGCCGCTCAACTTGAAATTTTCATTAAATTGTAAAATGCACACCAAAATTTTGATATTTACGCGACAAATGGTCATTCTACGTTTCGCAGATTAATATGCGAAAACTGAATTGGACATTTTGCGCAATTTTGCGAAATGCAGAAATAAGAAACCGCACGAATTATAAGTTGAAAATTTCATACATGTTTTCTCTTATAATGATCTTTTTTCCGACAAATTTCTTTTATTCAATTGCGATGCCATGCGACTGCATCAGTATGCTTTGTTGTTCAATGAACGACCATTGCATCTGGCGCAGATAAACACCATTCGTCCTCTTCGGCACACACGCATTACGAGCGTTAGCAGCTGAATTGTTAGCCCCATTAGTTGCATCATTTCCACAAGAGCATTGGCATCGTCATCGTTAAAGGTAGCTGCAACGCGATGCGAGCCGCGACAGCGATTCGACCGCTGCAAGTTCGCGGAAATTTATTTTTGCAGCCATCTACTAGAAATCGTCATATTCAAACTTCGTGATTGTTATTTCGCATGCAAAATCTCCTTTCAACCTTGTAACCACATCCTCACCGCGCGAACTCGGCTCAATGATTTGCGTTACAATCAGTTTCGCAGAATCTCTAGGTCAATCAGCTTGAAAAAATAACAGAAATATATTTCGGAGGAAAACTACCCAAGCTTTAACTCCAGATATATCACTGAAAAGTTTTACTAAAACATTTAGGCATCTTTCTAAAATATTTATAAAATACACGCTAGGAAAATGTACGACGAGAGAAAAATGGAATTTTTTATGAAATTTGAGGTTAGACACTATTGAAATTTTCAGTGAGCTCATCTCTCGGCGCCATAACTACGATGGAAAGAATTCGTCGCATTCCATTCACAAATAAGCATAGGAACCATTTTCGCATATTTATAGCATGAAGAAAACTCAACTCAAATTTCGCGATCTCGAAAAAAATTCGAACTTGAGAAAATTGAGAAAAGTAGAATTCATGAAAAAGAGTCTAAGCTAACTTTTAAGCCGCGCAGAACAAGCTCAATATTCTGCTTATGAAGTACAAGTCCCGAATAGGTTCTAATCGTCGACGAGATCGCATGATCTGAAGCTCGACCGGAGAGGCTTGTCTCCGGCCCGACGCGCATTTCCAACGCGCGTGTATGTTCTCGGTCAACTAAGATCAGATAGAATAGAAGCTTACGTAAGGATATAACGCGAATTGCCGTTGCTGCTGCCCTCTTACAAAGTAAAACGTAAAGACCCATCAGTCGCGTTTTTATGAAAAGTCGCGTCTAATAAAAATGGAGAATAACATTGTCGCCAACTGTACCAATATTGAACAATTTAAGAGATGCGCATCTAGATATTCATGCATCATGATTGTTACTCCAAAATGTAAGATTATTTCTGAATAATGAATTAACTTATTACAGGAATTATTGCTCATATTTTTGCCAAATTATCCGATGTAGTTCAAAACCGTGATGCACAAATACCGTATTCATGTAAAAAAGCATTCTCAAATATCAGATGTACATATGTATAATATTTACATAATGTACAACAAATAGTGTAAAATAATGTACTCACCAGTTAGAATACTGCAACTAATCCAATCCGATGCAGATTCCGCTTCAGATTGCTTGGATTAGCTTCGATGAATAATCCAGAATAATGCACACCGCCGAATGAGAGCCAGCTCACATATTTCACTTCACTTACTTCACTTCACTTTCAATAAGCATAGATTCGCGTTGCAAATTCGTTACGATAATGCATTTTGTGCCATAACGCTTCGACACAAACAATATAGACGATTATTATCACTTTGCGTCCGAACCGTTTCAGAATAATCGTAGAACTATCATGGCGGTTGAAAAGTTCAAAATAAGTAGCGCGCGTAGTTTCAATTTTATTGATGCTCGACACTAACGCTACGCGTGGAGAAAGGTGAAAGTAAAAAGTGATAAATGTCGCAATCGATAAGAAATTACATATTTGGTTCACTTGGACGTTATCGCGGCAAGCACACAACTATATTTCATCCTGTTTAACTTTGATGAGCTAAAATGCTCCATGTAATGAAAAACGCCACATTTTGAATCTTTTAAGCGAACGTAATGATAATCCGGCGAAATACAGCGATATTAAAATTTCTACTCACTAGAACTGATTTCGGTCCATGGTCGATTCAGATACGACGATGAAACATTGACAAGCATTGAAACGCGAGTGTATTCGCACTTTAGTCGACACTCGTAACACACGACGCGCAAAATTCATATTATTTACAAGCTTTTGACAAGTAAAATCCGCGAAACGTTCCCTCTCCGTGTTGCGGGCCGATGCGAGAGAGTTGCAACTGTCATGGCAGCCGAAATAGTTAGCGCGCGTAATTACTGTGCCATGCTTTTGAATTTATCGATAATTGACAGCGCTATGCATGGAGCAAAATGAAAATAACATCTATTTTATAGATACCACGCCATCTTTTAGTCGCTATGATAATTTTCATTGCATCGCGTTAGCTTAAAAAGGCGCGAACGTTTCGCGATTAATCAAGTATTTTATTTGTTTATAGTGCGCTACAAATTACCGAATTATACTATTGTTCTTGAATGTTTATGAGTAACACAACGTTTCCTTGTTACTGTAGATTGAAGTCAACACAATACTGATTTCATCGCTATAGATACGCTATGGCGCACGAAGTATTTCTTATTAGATGTGTCATTTTGAAAATCTAACTCGTCGGAATTAAATCGGCTAAAACATATTGCGTATGCATGCTGACGACTTTTGTGTAATCAGCAGTACATCTTATTTTACGTTCCAAATTTGCAATATAAATCTGTGCTTTTGTCGTTGACTTTCATTTGACAGTGTAATAACGAGTGATCCACTAACAATTTATCCACTCTTCGATAGAGTTGATATGCAGTAGCTAAAGTGGTGGAATCCAGTGGAATCTACAACAAATTAAATGAAATGCAGCATCCTAGCTGGTGAGTAAATTTAAATTAAATATATCAATAATTATTTATTTATTATTTGTTTAAAAAGGTATTGTGCATTTGGCACCTTTTTTATCTTTTATTAAATTGTGATAATACATATATGTACAATCATAATTATTGGGCTATCTATAGCATGTAAATGTGCTTGAAGATATATTTAAATGAGCTTGTATGAATGTAAAATAATCGTGTAAAGAATTAATTAATCATGAGTCTAAGATAAAGGATGCCACTTGGTCACATCTATGTGAAACATTATTATTATTGGAAGAATAACAAAAATAGATGTGCTAAGGATTATATATTATATTTGTACGTTTGTAGTAGTAATATCGGAATTTTATTTTATATTTTATATATAAGAAATAGCATTTTTTTCCACATTACTGCTATATTAAATAATTCTCTCCTTCAAAGCAACATTTGTTCTCTTTATGAGGACATAGTTACTGTATTATTAAATTTTATTGGTTTACTAGATTCTGATAAACCAAATATTCTGCTTAAAACATTTATGGCAGCTACATTTTTGGCTTCTTGGATAGTCTGGCCAAATCCTAAAAAAGTAACAGAAAAATATATTAAATTGCCTGATAATAATAAAATAAGGCGTGATAAATAAAATTACCTGAACCTAAAAATTGTTTGTCAGAGTACATTGCTACATGGTGAACAGCTAAAAGTGTATTTTGCCCCGCTTGCCCGATAAGTCTTGGTTCAGCAGGTGATCTATTTTGTTTATGTAGAACATCATTTAAATATTCGACTGGATTAGCTGGATTCCAAATTTCTGTTAGATCCTTTTCAGCTAATATAACAATTAAGAAATCCCTAACAAAGTTTGCTGCATGATTAACATCTACACTGTCTGCAAGTGCTGTGACAAGTGCAAGAAACGTATCAGCTAATGTTTTTTGTGATACTGGATGTTCCTGAAGAAATTAAAAACAGAAAATTGAAAACAAAAATTAATGACAAGTTTCACTTCATTGTATTAAAACACGTTAGAATAAATTTACAATTATAATTATTGTCTATACTTACTTCAGTTAAAATAATTTCTTTGGTTCCAATATGAAAAGATGCTTTAGCCAGAATTTCCTCGGACAGAAGGTAATCATGCAATGAACTAAAAGACACAATTATTGATTATTCATACTAACATATAAAATATATCTTTGTGTAAGTTTTCATTACATACATACATTATGACATCTTCAAATGCATGCGGTAACGCTTGGGCTAAGTAACTTAATACTATCTCTGATGTAAGCTTGTCGCCTTTCATAATAAGATCAGTGTTATCCTGCAAATCGAGCTTATAATCTTCTATTCCCATTTCTTTCTGTCTTTGTTCTTCTTGTATGATATATGATCTGTGAGTAAAAGCTTGTTCCAATCTTTCAGTATCAAAATTTTCAGACAGTCTTATATTAAACGCATAAATCTCTGCGGATCTATTCCACTCCAGAAAAGTACTACGCTTAGGCTCTGGCTGTGGTGGTAAACGTCTCTTGCGTCTTGTTATTTCTATCTGCGTCGGTGCCACCCATCTTTTGGTATTTCTCTGTCCTGTATAAAATATAGAAATATACACATACAGTTATACATAATTATAATAAGAATAGAATATGTTATCAATTTTATACATTTAAACAAAATCTTAGCTATCAGAAGCATGTCTAACCTTCACGATTCACAGACCGCATTACCCCTTTATTCAGAATAATGGTTTTAATACACAAACGTAAAGAATTCATATTTGTATAACGATTCAATTGTTCAAATTGTTTTAGAAAAGGTGATTTCAGCGTATATTAATGTCAAATAATTTATAACCTGATATAACTTGCTAATTTAGGTTATAAACATTTGCATGATTGCCAACATGATTTTGAGCTGCTGTTTATTATGGAGGATTCACACTACATCTTGTGTGCGATATAAGAGAGGTCGATAACCAATAGGAGATTGCGTTTCGTGGGGACTTTATCTAATATTCGTTCTTCACAAATAACGAACGCAGTGTGCATCTTGCATTATTCAGATGTAATATTCGTCAAGATGGCGTTGGTATAGAACAGACGTGATTTTTCAAATTTTCACGAATTTAGCAATTTTTAATTAAACTTATCTACTATAGTATGCGTACAAAAATACGAGCATAAGAATATTATTTTTTCATTTATCATATTTCGATGATGGATAAATCGTTATAATTTGTTGATAATTTGTGAGTAAAGTAGTAGTATAATAATATAGTGGTTAGTCGCTACAAGCGGTCGGAAGATGGCGACGATGCAGTTGTTTTCCAGTCACCGCGCGTAAGTTTTTTTTTACGACGATAGTTCTGGACCGCGAGTTGTCGGGATCGGGATGCTGCATAAACGCGGCAACTGTGTCGGCGGTAATTGACAGCTGCCGAAAAGCTGTCGGCGATGCGGCCGATCGCGGAGTGCACGCGATAGCGAGAGAAGTATTAGCGCTTGTGTACGTACGCGAGTTTCGAAATCGGGAGTGATAAGCCTGCGCGACGTGGAGATATCGTGGCGTCCAGTAGATCGGATGGGATCATCAACATCTCTCGGCGGAGCGAAAGAGAGACTTTTTAAAGGCCCCGGGCGTGTTTACAGTTGCATCGCGGGCGCTTGACCGTCGTGTGTTTCATCGATGCGCCGCGCATTTAGCATCCCCGACAGGTTTATTTTCTTTTAGCTGCTCTTTTCTTCACTTTCTGTGTTTTAAGCGTTCAGAGAAAAAGAGTATTTTGAAAAAAGTCGATCTTAAAATCGGATTTAAATTTATAAATTGTATCTTTTTATCAGAATCAAATTTTTGTATACAGATTTTATCAGCGAACAAAAACAAAGTGGACGCATAACAATTTTTATCAGTGAGAATATTTAGGTACCGACGATTTTAATCGTTAAAAATTAGGCTTTTTGCTAATTACACGTCAGAGGTTGAAATAATGGAATGTTACTTGTGGAAAATTCAAGGTTCAAAACTAACAACATTATCTGTGTTGATTACACGATCTTTTTGATATTGTAATTGTTACAATAATTACAAAAGTGTTCACAGGAAAAAGGTTACTGCAATGTAAAAACTTTTTGTTTTAGGGGCAAGAATTTTACAATTTGCCTCTTTGTAAATCTGATGAGCTTGAAAAGAGGAAAAGAAGAAGATTGTGAAGATACTTAGAAAGAGCAGCTAAAAGACACACGTCTTTCGGTATCATTGCGAACGATAACAGCGAAACAGTGCAACAGTGATCCATTGGAAAACGCAATCGCAATAGTTTGGTCTCTCTGGCCTGCGAGATATGTGCCCGACGGCGCGAGGACGTGTATGCGCCTCTTTCCGTCAACGCGTTGAACGACTTTCGGTAAGTCCGGCATGCTTTTGTAATCGAGGGCGCATGGACTTGGGTTCATTTCTATTTTGTTGTCTCTGAAAATCATTTGCCTAAGGCAAACGGCTATAAAATATGAGTGTGTTATGTTCTGTATTTTCTTTTGTTATTCTTTCTCTCTGGCGCATCTTTCAAAGTTTAAATCTTTAAATATTCGTATTTGTCTTTAAATTTTTTAATGACAAGAATGTAGTTAAAAATATATCTCTGTTTTCTTCTAAAGTTTAATTACTTATCTCAACAAATGTCAGCATTATTCACAAAAATAATAATTAAATAAGATTTAATATTAGAATTGTTTTGAATTTGTTGGAAATATAAAACTGCATTAAAATATATTCTTAGCTAGTGTTTGGTGGTTAGTGGTTCGAAAATATGTATATATACATATGTATATATTCATGAAATAAAAGCCGCAGTTACAGCGTTCAGTCATTCTCTGTCCCGGTTTAAATCTTACTTAATTTCAAGTGACGTTTACGGATGTCCTAAGACGCGAACCGTTAGGATCGTTAACAGTGACTTCTCTTAATATTTACTTCAATCACATTAACTTGCGCCACAACGTTTAAACGTCGCTTCCTTCGTGTGTAATTTAGAAAAAAAGAGACGGTTAAACCGCGGCCGGAAATTAATCGACGCAGAAATCGGCCCTTAGTCCGTATTGAGAAGAGGGTTTAAGAGGGTCCGTACAAGAGCGGCGCGCGTCAATCTCGTAAAGTCTCGCGATGCTCGTGAAACTTGATGATGCCGGTGAGATTGTGCCAGGTGTGTCGCGCGACATTCGCGGTCGCGAGAGAAAGAGGAAGTGACGGAGCGAGAGGGAGACAGAGACAGAGAGAAATATGTAAATTTCTCTCGGTCTGCGCGCGGTGGAAACGAGAGGAAAAGAGAGAGAGAAAGAGGGAGAGACAGAGAGATGCGCGCGGATACTCGCGAGAGACGATAGGTAGGATAGAGAGGGAGAAGAGGAGAAAACGCGAGAGAGGAGTAAGAAAAAAAGCGCTACGGGGAGGTAAAGGGATGGGCGGAGCGCGGAGGGAGGGTATCAGAAGGAGAGACAGAAGGAAAGAGAGAGAGAGAGAGAGAGAGAAAGAGAAAGAAAGAGCTTCGTATATAAGATATAGGCTTTAGTTTGGGCAGTGGAATGCGGTGGTCGCGGGGCGGACGACCGCTTACACGCTTACACATCATGCTTGCGTGAGTGTGCTGTGTGTATACATTCAATGCCGCATATATACGGCGACTCAATATCGCGTCGGGAGTGTGTTCCGCGCCCCAAGCTCTTGATCGTATTTTCATTTTTTTTTCTCTTCACGCCCACGCTGAGCTGTTACCCGGTGGCGGCAAACGATTTTTTGTACCTTCCGTAACCTGCGACCCCTTTTTCGAGATACAAACAAAAGTTTGAGAAGGTAACGGCGAGAGCCTAGCGGTGGGAGAGATGCGAGTTAATATAGTTTTCGTATTATTGATGCTGCTGATAATATACGTTGACATGCAATATCCGTAGAATGCATCAATTCTATCTCTCTACCTGTAAATATTCAGAAAAGTATTTGAATGTGTATCGGAAAATATGACGTCGATTCATAAAGACACGATTGGCGTTAAACATATTTTTCCATGGGTATCTGTGTCAATATGATGTTCTTTCGTGAACTCTTTCGGTTATTTTAACCCGCGCGTGATTTTTCAGTTATGCGGGTTTACACTTCTCTTTTGTACTGCTCATTTTTACTATTCTTTTTTGGCGACTTTTAAACTGCATTTTACACTGCAACTACGTGGAAATACCAATATTTTCAAACAAAATCATATAAAGCAAAGACGTTAAATAAATTTGGTTTTGTGATTTATCATCTGTTTTTAAATACACCTTAGACAATCTATAATTCGCGACAAAATTCGAGAATTCTATTTCGTGTGTCGTATAATGCAGGAAACGTTTGAAAAATCAGAATGCACACTTAAATATACACATGTATTTTGTATTTCAATTTTTAATCTATTGTCTCGAATTTTCTTCCGAATAGATCGTTTAAAATGGTTTTTAGATTATAATCTTATTTTTATGACATATAAATAGCGAAGGAAAATTTATTTAACCACAAAATTAGTACCGTGTGACATTGAGATGCGACTGGTGGATCCTAAGAGGATCATAATCATTAGCGGGTTGATCGAGACATGTCAGGCGAGCTGTCAGGTGTTGCCTCGAAGGCATCGCTGCATCGTCTTGACGACGTTTGATCGTACACTTTATATATAAACTTCCCTCTCCGAATTTTCTCCAGTGTTATATTTTTGCCTGATTGATGTGCAATAATATGCAATTAAAGAGGTTAATAAATGCAGAAGAATTTGATTTTAATTAAAATAAATTAATAAAAATGAAAAGGGTATGGTACATTTTCTGTAAAAATACTCGGCAGGAAACTGGTTGGTATCGCGTTTGTCAGTTCTTCCTTTAACGTCGGAATTTGTAAACTTTACAATTTATCTGTAATGAATTTCATGAATTTTCTCTTCATCGAAATTACTGTAGATAAATGTTTTCTTTTTTTTCTCCAACTTCTGCTGTCTTACTGCCCTTTTGGCTGTGAAACCATGCTGCGAAGAGCAGTGAGTTAACTAAATTAGAAAAGACAATATTGTACATAATAATTTCTTTTGGCGATTTTCTACTCATCGCGTCACTATTTTCTACGGAGAAATGTAAATGGAGCATTGAGACAGTTTATAACGACAGACTATCCATAATAAATGTCTCTTCCAAATAAACGGCATATTTTTCCGGGAATCTTCCGCAACCAGTTGGCTTTTTGCAAAATCACTTAACGATTACCGGTTGACCCTGATTTTCTTCTGGCAAATGATAGGCTTACACCGGCCACAGCTTCATATTCGCGTACACGCCCCACGCTCGTTCTCGAGTATGCGTGCACGTATATCCTGCCGATCGGTTAGAAAGGCAGATGTGTGCGAGACCAGTCGAGGTCAGTTAAATACACTTCAGGACAACGCCGTTTTTGGCGGGTCCGTTTACATTAAACCAGTTACTTCAGAGCCGCGCATGTTAAATCAGTCACCAGACTGAGGGATCGTGAAATTGAGTCGTGGAATCCATTTACTGTTTATCAAAAATATCATCGGCGTCAGAATTTGATACATGTTTTTACAGACGGATTATTCAGAGAAATATACTTTTTAATTTTATACAGAGTACAAAGACAAATATTCATGATTCGAGATTCAGTTTTCAATTCTTTCCAAATCTTAAATCTTTCTTTAATACCGAATAATTTAAAATAAATGGTTTAATCCTTACATTTTTAGATGAAAAAATAAATTTAATAGCATTCAGTTTATTTATTTATTTATGTTTTAATTTTGGAGATAAACTTGTGTTTACGAGATTGCTATTAATTGATCTGACTAATGAAACAATTTTTTGCCGCAATTTACGTGACTCTTATTGGCGAAAAGTTTACGAAAATATCGGCTTTACGACCGCTCCGTCATCCTAACGTCGAAAACTGTCGCACTATTACCGTGATGAGATTCGCCGAATATTACATCGATAAAGGTTCCCCGAAAGAGAGCGGCCGGACAGGTAGGAGGGGCACGTCAAGGGGGCTACGGGGTAGCCCCCCTTCTCGAAATACACGCTTAAGGAGCAGCACTTTGGGAGCCTGGCGGAGTAATTGCATACAAGAGTCCGTCAAAGCGAGCAACACGAGCGTGCGCGGGGCAAGAGAAAGAGAGAGAAAAAGAGCCCTGAGGACGACGAGCGCACGGGCCTCCGTGTATATTGAGACAGAAATTTCTCATCGTGGCCCGCCCGGCCCCCGAAACGCTCTTTCTGAGAACCGAGGGACGCGCTCTCGCGTTTTCCACGATGCGTCCGATAATACATTCGCGAAGCGACTTTTTTACGTGCTCGTCGTCCGTTTATCTGGCCGGTATCCGCACAGGTTATCGCAGCCGCTTAAATTCTGGCGTTCTCCACTTTGTGATTCACTCTTCCCATGTGATTCCTACACCGAGAAAGAAAGTGTGGAATCTAAAGAAAAAAATTTATCTATTCAAGTGTACGCTTCCATTAATCTGAATAATGTTGAACCGATTTATTTATTGCACGTATACACGTACACGAGAAATTATAAAATATAAGTAATTTATAAATAATTATAAATTTTTATCTCGAGTTCTGTCGCGAATTATACCTCGTCTAAAATAGATTTCGATCTTGTTTGTCGAAGCGTGTTTTGAAGAAAGCAGGCAGTTTATAAATTTTCAACCGCTTGTATTCGTTTTATAAATTTTTATAAGATTTCTTGATGTTTTCTGATTTGTAAGTTGCAAAGTCAGCTTTCCGTTTTCCTTTCTTTTAACTTTCTCTTCCTTTTTGCCTGAATTGCTCTTCCTTTTTCCCTGAATTTGTTCGCTTTTTTTCTCTTTCGAGTATTTTTTTTTCTCTTTTTCTGTTAAAGTATTTTTTTTAATAGACACAATCACGTACGTTGTTAAAATACGATCCATCTTTAATGTCGATTTTGTTTGTCTTTCTTGCATCGCATGAATAAAGCTTGAATACATAGTTGTTTTCCTCAACGTGATAACATCTCGGCGTTAATTATCCTCCTACAATTATCCGACCACACTTGTTAATGACCTTCGCGCTCGAGAAAGTTTCGCATAATTACTTTCTTTCATAGATTATTTCTGGTTAGCTAGGTTTCTCGTGCGAAATGTGAAATTTCTGCATTATCTTGAGCGATGTGTATTTGTACAACATTTCCTTTCATTCGTCAACACGTTTTTCTTCTTGTAGTGTTGAATAAATATCATGTTTATCATTGTTCTCAATATTTCAAATGCAATTCGATCTACTTATTCTCTAAATAATTATCTGATTCTTGTTTCAAGAAAATTAGAAAAAAAGTTGGAAAGTATAATTTTTGAAAATAATTAACAAAAATATAAAAAGATTAAATACGTAATATTGCACTTTTAGTTTTGGTCACATTAAAAGTATCAAATTTAATCACACACACACAGCTGGCGAGTTTATCGCGCTCCGTATGCTAGCGTATGAAAAGCTCTCTCGCGTTCGCATTCGGGATCTTGATTGTGAAAGAAAGCCGGATGATGACGATGCCGATGTTGCTGATAATTTACAAACGTGCTGATAATTTACAGGTTTTCCGGCGGTGTTAGCTCTCGAAGAGACATGAACGTGGAACGACCGGCGATGGACAGCGGCGGCGGCAGCGGCGGCGGCGGCGGCGGCGGCGGCGGTGGCGGCGGCGGCGGCGGCGGTGGTGGCGGCGGTGGCGGCAACGGTTGCGGGCAGCAGCCGCTCTTCCTAGGTAGCACTTCCGCTTGGGGCGGTATCCCCGGTCCTCAGCAATCGACCGTGCAGGCCGCCGGCGCGCCCTCGGAACCCTACGGGGGACCGCTGAGCCTCAGCATCTGCATATCTGATTCGGGTCACGAGATACTGCGTCCGAAGCCGCGACGGTAAGTCCCCCACCTCTCTTTCATTTCTGTCCGCGTGCGCGCGCTCGGTAATCGATGCCGATCTTAATGAAGATCTGATTAATGATCGCCTGTCCGGTAATCCGCTGGGCGCGATAAGAATCGTGATTAAAATCGTGCAGGAATCGGCGTTGTGCGACCCGAGCGTCGACCCCGCGCGTCGAAATTAGATATTGGCCGCTCAACACGTCATTTCCATTTGTTAGTGTTATCATTTATTATCTCTTATCGCCATCTGAAAGTTAGGGTCGTAATTGAACGTAGTTACGTAACGCGGAAACAATTCCGAAAATTAGTTTTCTGATTTATTTCGCATTTGTGAAAGAAGCTGTTCCGTTAACGAACAGTTACATTTATGAAGTATGTCATAGACGTTTTTGACTGTAAAAGAACACATTGTTGATGCGAAATTAACTGTCATAACTTATTGAGTACTAAATTTAAATGTACGAGAAACGTCAAGTGTCTCGAATCGCTTAGAATTCTCTTGAATGACTGGGAAAGAAACCTTTTTCATACAATTTGGGTTAAATCATTGACATAAAAGCCGCGGACGTAAGAAAATTGGACGAAAAACGAACAAGTTTTGTGTTTCCGAGGAAAAAAGCGGACAAAAGATGTCCAGGATAGAAATGGCTGGAAAACCGAGGAATATAAAGCCGCGTAGGTTAAGTTCGTCGACGCATCTCGGTTAACCTTTCGGGTCCCCGCACCTGCAGGCTGTGCGAATTCCTCGGTGTATTCGTGAGCCTCTACCGTTAAAGCAAAAGAGCCAAGTCAGTTGATACTCGGTTTGCAATGCCGTGTTGTCGCTCGTCGCGGCTTCACAAGCTGTTCCGTTTGCGGGATAATTTAAACCCTAGACCTACGAGCTAACGTGGCATCATGCCCGCGACCCCACTTTCATCTCGGACTTTCATCTGACACACTTCAACAGCGTTAAGAAAAAGAAGAGAGTTAAAATGTTAGATCAGCCTTGTTAATGGTAACATTTCATTTCTATTACAAGTTATTATTTCATATATTTCATATTATTTCATTTATTTCATTTTTCGTACAAAACTGACCGTAAAATATCTTAAATTTTGGTGAAATTTTTTTTAGAGAAAATGTATCAAGTATTTCACTATAGTCAATTTTTAATTACTAATTATTTTTAATTTATCATATGAAGTAATTTCTTATATTTTTATATCAATTCCAAGCTTGTGAGAAATAATTTGTAAAGCTTAATGTTACTGACCTACAATTATTTTGTCGCTATACGTTTTCAATTTTTTTATGTATATTAAAAACTGACTTGCATTTTCGACAACATTCCTGCAACATACCTGGTTTTACGCGCAACAAGAGAGACACTCTCGTAAATCTGACAGTAGACCACTGCACATTGTCAATTACGACGCCCACTTTTTGTGCACCGAATCGGCCATTCTGATTGGGGATCGTTAAAATTTACGAGACATGTAATTACAACCGATTAATGATTGGCTGAGGTCGATACGTACGTTCGTGTGACATTGAGCTTATCTTTCCCTGTTATTTAGTTTCATCGACATCACTTTCGATGCTCAGTCACGGAATGTCCGAAAATCCACGCGGCATACAGATAAGATGTCCGGAATTTAAGAATTCTCCAATACCGCTGCGCGCTCATTTTGTACGCGAAAACTCCTCCTTCTCGAGGAGGTTTTACGCTTCTTTATTACATAGCGGCCGGGACATTTGTTTTTACGGAAAAATTGCGAAAGACGCTGTGCGCGCGCATAGTAAGATGCAACTGGTGTGGCATCACGTGGTCCAAATATGATATTTTGATCAAAGAATACGTGCATTCAAATCAATAGAAATGCTTGGAAAAGTGAATAAATTTTTGAACAGTAGAACAATTATCTCTTTCCGGTCTTTAAGTTACATTATTCTAGACAAAAATGACAGAAATCTACAAACTTGACAGTGAATTCAATCGCAAGTTTTTGTTGAATTGTGCAAATTCTTGAATTTACGCACACATGGGATTATTACATAAGACTGCTATTTAATTGTTACTAAAATTATAATACTATAATTTTAAATACTTTTTTCCAAAACAATATTTTTGCTTTGCACTCTTCTTACAATCATTAGATTGGGGAATAAAAATTGCTCCAATTTCAATCAATTAAATTTCTACAATTTTATTGCAACTTTATTTAATTATGTTTGATTTATTTTTGCACACGCACACATTCTTCGGTCGTGTCAGTGATTATTATTGTACGCTCTATTCGTCCCATGCTCTAGTACGCTCGTGAAACTCTTACTCTCGCCTCGCATTTCATTTCATTCAACGTTCAATCGTCCGATTCAATCATTTTTTCCCGGCGCGACGGTGAATTAGGATGAAATAGAAATTAGCCTGGCATTACCCATTATAGACCGGCGTGCGAAAGGAGAGCTCGCTTTTAATTAGTTATCCGAAAGTTGGAAACCGCGGCGAGAAAATGCGTGCGTTTTATCTGGGAACGCGCGACGAGCGCGGCTCGCGCGCGACTTAGAATGCGTTTGCGAGGGAAAAATGCACGCCAATGGCATACCGCCGTGAATCCGCAGCAGATATTTGGGTTAATGGTTCTTTCCGCCTTTACCTTCCTCCTTTCTTCCACTGCATAGCGCCGATCTCAACTAGCTTTTACTACTAGTGGCAGAGAGGGAGGTCAGAAACGACCCGCATTTATTATCTTCTTGCGCGTAGGATTGTGCACCGGTCGCACACCTGCTACGACTTTTCATTCATAATTGTGACTTGCAATAAAAGACATAGATGGAAATATAAATGAATAAAATTGGGAAGAATCGAGAAATTTGATGAAATGGATTATTGGAGAAATTTTCACTTCTAGGTATTGGTCAAGAAAAGAGCGAAGTGGAAGCAAAAATATTACTTTAATGACTGTCCTGGAGTTGTAATTGTTTTCAAATCTTTTCTAAGTTAAACAAAATCTTTACATTTTTAGATATCTGTACAATTGAACGAAAATTTGCAATCAAACTTTATCAGTTTTATAGATTTCGATTATTTTATATCTCTGATAATTAAAAATTCAAGTGATCCACGAAGATGATTGTTGTATAATATTTTTATCATGATATTTTTTTATAATTTTAGTATGTGTTATCGTGGAATAATATCTGTTAAGAAGTGTGCGTGGTTGCGCACAGAAAAATACGCACAATAAAAAAACGCGATGTTCGAGTTGTAGAACGGTGAGAATTTCAATTTTAAATTGACAATTAAAAAATTTCCCTTAATTTCTCGTGCATTTATTCCCATTCGCGAGAACCGTTAGCCATCCGGCACGACGGCGGACTTCCTACACCAGTTTATCGTTAGTTACGTCTTAAGCGATGAGAATCGGCGATTATTAAAACGGTGATTATTCGAACGTGTCATTACATTTCCATGCTGATCGATCCCCACCAGCTCGAGTGTATCGTTTAGTAGCGAGCAATTAGCCGCACGAACGATTTGACCTTTTGGCGAGATAAAATAAAATAGGCATGCACTCGAAACGTAACATCGTTTGCAAAACATTTTGCATGCCTTTTCGTGTGCGTCATCGTATGCAGTATTCTGGCGGTCGCCGCCACCACGCTGGATCTCCTCTCACGAGTTACAAGGAACAAATTAACGGGTGTCCGACTTTTATACGTGGGCGAATCAAAAATGCATACGCTCATAGAGCAGCGTTGCGGAACTTCCGCTTGGTGCGCTATGTATGAATGCGCCACTTTCGCGTGGGGAAAAATGTTTATAGAAAATTATAGAGCTTACACACGCACCACTCGGCGCACTCATGCACATACTAGACTCGTAATTCTCTTTTCTTCTTTTGTCGTCGAACTATATAACTACCGACTTTACGATATAAATGTCTCGTATATTAAAATATACCGAAACCGAGAGATGTTACTCGAAGGATATTCGGCGAGTCCCGGGTAGACACGCTTCGGTAAATAATTTAATATCCTCGTATATAAGAGCGCCACCGCCCTTGACACCGGAGTTTCGCCCCCGTGAGCACGGACAATGTCTGCCTTGAACTCTTCCTCCCGCAGTCTCTGCCCGGTAGGGACACGTGTTATAGATTTTGTCTGGTCATTCTTAAAAATGTTCATTCATCAAACGTCGTTGCATGACTGACGGTAAAACTGCGATTTCGCGTTTTATATATATATTTCCTCAGAAAAATTACTTTTTTTTTTTTTGTAACTCGACAATTTATTTTTTATTTATTTTTTGTCGCATTTTATTTGACTATATTTTGTTCAATTAATTTCTTTAAATGTTTATTTTTTAATTACTCATTAAAATATGTATGTTTAATTAACAAATGCATAAAAAGAACAAATTACTGAGATTGCAAGTGAATATCAAAGGCAATCTAATCTTTCGACTGTCACTTTGTGTCTCGAACAATTAAAACTATAGGTACGACTTGTTCAAATTTTAATATGTGTTTCTGTCTCTAACAATCATTTTTGTAATTCTTAAACGAGTTACGATCGGACGCATTTTATGCTTTTTAGAAAGTCTGTCATTATCACGATTTTTTACAGTGTAAGATTTAATAATTCATGCGATGAAACGGATTTCGATAGATTTGCAACGTGTGATAAGGAATACCGGTTTATCTAGGTGTAGTAGAGCACTATCTACTTTCGCGTTAATTTGCGGTAAGGCAAGCTGAAGGCTAGTAAGTAGTGCTCTATATAAGTGGCTTTTATTAAAGTTTATAGTATGATTTATGCATATTAAGTATGTATGAATACGCATATACAGAGTGTCCCAGACAAACCGTATCACTCGTTAATAGCAGATTCCTGAGGTTATATAGAGATGAAAACAGTAAAATGTCCAGGATAATTTTTAAATGCGAAATGCTTAAAACTGATTAATCAGATTGTCAAAAATTTACACGTTTAGGCACGTCGTATATTGATTTTTATATTCTTATCATATGAGAAACCTCAGAGAAATCTGCTATTAACGGGTAATACGGTTAGTCTGAGACACTACGTGTATTTTACATTATTTTTCAATCTATTCTCTCAATGATATTAAAATCAAACAAATTGAATTGACTTACCGGCATAATGCGCAGCAACGGAGTCGTTCACAAGTCGATCTGTAACATACAAAATTAGAGCAGCGTTTAAAATAATTATTATCACGCACGTTAAACTTTTATTTATTTTTTATGCAAATATCTGATAAAAGAATTATACATTTATATCTAATAACCATAAAAATATTAAAAATTTCAAATTTCACTGAATATTTCAAAGTTTCTATGTGCGTTGCAATACGTGCAATATTTTGCAAATAACAGATAAGTTGATCTTACTTACCCTGCCTACTAGGAGAATTGAGAAAAAAGAAGGACATCGAGTGCTTTAGGATAAATAATTATTTACGTGTTGTCTGTTATTCGCAAAATATTGCACGTAATGTGAGTTCAGTAAAAGATTTGCAATTTTTAATATTTATTAGATATAAATATATAGTCTTTTATCACAGATATTTGCATAAAAAACGAATAAAAGTTTACTATGCGTAATCAGATATTAGCTTTTTAATTTAAAACAATTATCACGGAAAATTTTCTTCTACATGTTTAATTTCTCGTGAATCAGAGTTGGATTTTATACGTGTATTAATGTTTTATAATGTGGACAAGGTTTTGGGTGAAAACTGTCGAGTTTCGCCATTCTCAGCGATCTTCACCGGTGCGTTTCGCTCGAAAGGAAAATATTGCATTCGTGATACGTTACGTTCAATTTACTCGTCCGCAATTATCAATTTCGACACGCGAATTGGCTCATAAGTATTCATAATAGCCCGATACGAGGCACCGTTGCATCAACGATGAGGGACACTCCCCTTCGTGCAAACTATAGTAATCGACGCTGAAATAATTCCGCGTAGACTCTTCGGTGTACATCCCCTTAGATGCGTATGCTAATCCGCATAATTCTAATGGCAACGCTTTTAACGCTGACCCACTTCGCTTCCTGTTTTCCGTGTAAGTGTCGAGCGCACCTCTGTGCGGATTTAATTACTACGAGCAACCTCCTGGGAATCTTCTTCATCGCGTCGCTATAAAACAGTACCGGAAGGAATCAACAACGGCTTGGGGTACTCACGGTCAACCTTTTCTGCGCCGATCGTGTGGGGACAGATTTCGCGATATGAAAGGCTGTAGTACCGTAGTGCGATGCAAGCATGTGATGTTATTAAAACGCAACACCCCCCATGTAACATTACACTGGTTGTCTGAGAGGCGGAAGTCTTAGAAAAATAATTAGAAAAATTAATCATTTGCCGTGATGTGCCATCTGTATTTATTCTTTTGCAATTATTATTGCAAATTATTTTACAGTGGGATTCGTATTGACTTAATTAATTAATAGAAAAAATTAACAAGAGAAAAAGAAGGTGGAGAAAGAGGGATAGATATTTGAATAAATCTATTGAAGTGTGATATCAGAAAGTTGTAAGTAGAAATATAAATTTGTAACATTCTTAAATGTTGTTCATTTATATAATAATTAATTTATAAAATACAATGTATTTATAAAAAAGAATAATAGAATTAAAAACTTTTTTATGAGTCGGCGAAAGAAAAAAGGGTATCAAAGGTACAGATTATCATTCAAGTTTACAATCTGTCGAATGCACTTAATTTTTTAGAAATCGAGTGAGTTTTTGAAAACTGTTTCACTGAAAACTTTTGAATAGTCAGATATTATACCCGACGGATCTTGGTGATTCTTTCTCTACCTGGTCAATCCTCTATTCTTTGATTTCCCGTTTTTATTGTACAACTTAAAAGTATACAAAGCAGCGATATAAAATAGCGTAAAAGCGGATAATGAGAATGGAAAGGATTCCAGCTGTGAAAGAAATATTGAAAGAGTAGAGGGATCGTTTTACAGAGGGACATTTTACAGAGCAAAGTAATATTCTAGAAAAAAACTGAACCCGGTCGATTGATTTTTTTTAAATTGAAAGTTTAAAAACAAAATTGTTAAACAATATGAAATGTTTTTTAGATATGAATAATTTTGTATAATATAAAATTACGAATTCGGAAGTCGATCCAATTTCCAGCGCTTGAAAGCGTTATTATTGCCGTGTGATATGAGAGAAAAAAGCGATATTACGGTATCAGAAGCGATGTCAGCGGAGTTCGTCACGGACGCTGACTGGGGCGGTGTGATTCGAGCACACGGCCATAGGAAGTAGGATGGTCGCCGGAAATAGTCCTCCCCCGAAACATATGGTGGGGCTTGGCCTGTTGCAAAAGACACACATTCGTTTGTGCTCGGCCGTTTCCTGCGTAGCTCGCCGGTGAAAAGAGCATAGCAGCAGTTCACAAGTGACGGCCGGCACTTGTACACGTCGCCGATCGGCTTAGCCGGCAGCTCGCGCGCTTGATAAGCTCGCATTACCGTACCGGTGATAAAAGCTCCGACCGGATTACGGAGTCCGTGCGACTCGCTCTAAAGAGTTCTGCACGGTGCTCTACGATCAGTTTCGTAAAGTCTAGCGTGTGTTACGCGGTGCGTTATATAATCGCACGATCTCATTGCGGTATTTGCGTAATTTGATGATTTCTTACAATCATATAGATTATATATAGTTGTATAATAATTGTACACCGCTTATGGTACGCGGTTGTGCGCGGTTTAAAAAGCTAATCAATTTGCTCGATTAGTTGGATGCTCCAAGCTCGTCGCGAGATCGAGCCCGAGAGTGGCGCGGTGCGATGAGAGAGCGCGAATTATTTCCACGCGTAATTTCCATGTCGCGATTTTTGCCGCGGGCGCTGCGAGAGAAGCTCCTCTTTCCCGTGATATCATAGTTACGCGCGACGGAACAAAAGACAGAGCGGCGCGGGCGGGGGACACGCACGTAGTTGCGGGTGAAGGTAGGAAAGTGATACGGATATCTCTTCTTTTCCCCGACTACTACAGGTGCGGGGAAGCGCACTAGCGTTTCACCAGCGTGCACCGATGCATCAGGAAGCCGTATAGACACGTTCGTGGTCTCAGTCGCGTGTTTACATTGAGTGCGGCACGATGAGACGGCTGCGTTAATGCAGCGGAAAAGAGTAACGTCGTAATTATAGTTCATTTTACCGCGATATCGTTTCTTCCTCTTTTTTTCGCCAACGTTTATATCGATTGCGATCCATTTACGCGTGATTATTTTTGTCGTGTACTGCGCGCCGCAATGTGTTATCAGGATTAATAAAAGTTTTGTGTGCAAACAATTGGGATGAAGCGCGACGTGATTATTGTAATTATTAATAAAGTGCAACCTAATGATTCATTCGAACGATGAAGCTTTCTCGCCGCGTCAACAAGACTGTCGCGCGATGAATCAACGAGGAAATTTTGCGGCGTGTCGTTGCGTGAAATTGGAGCGATGAACGTTATCGCGGTAGGACGTGAAACCGATATCTTACGAAGCGCGCGCGAGGAAAAGTTGCGACGTATTCCGACGAGTTGTTGGTGAATTCCGGTCAAAGTGGATGAAAATAATCGCGTGATATAAACGAAGGATTCTAATAGAACGTCTAAATCTGTGCCACGTTTGACACTACGGAGTAAGGTTGAAGGCGGAATGAAAGAACGAGTTGAGTTGGCATTTTAGAAATGTTATCAATGAATGCAAAGATTTGCCATTTCAGTGTACGTAATAATACATTGTGAGCCAAACGCGGTTGCACGTGAAACGTGTGCAATTAAATAAATAGTTGGAGAATATTCGTTTCGTTTTATTCGCACTTTGAAATTCCTCACGCATCTACGCTAGACAGATAAGTGCGAAAAGTTGGTCGATGCTATACTGGACACGGCGCGCGTCTCACAATGACCGGTCGCGAATGACATGCCGTCCCCGAGGCGAGCCCAATGCACCGAGGATTGCAGGTGCGTACTGTGCCGCGAGTTGAAAGGTTGCAAGATGAGCACGAGCGGCGTGGAGATTCAGCAGAAGCAAACCGGCAACGAAGGCGCGAACTTCATCCTGCGGCGGGCCGTGCCTTTCCTGCCAAAGCCGTTGAAGGCGCGAAGCGAGCTGCAGGAAGTCGCCGTGAGACACGACGATTACGAGAGAAGCTCGACCCTAGAGGACAAAAGCCGTCGCGGCGGTCAGGCCGCGAGCAAGGATGATTCAAAGCCGAAAAGCACCTCATCGAGCAGCGACGCGGGAAAAACGGGAAGGGACGTCGGTCACAGGACGGTTATCTACTTCGGCGACTCGAATCCGCGACCGAAGGAAGACCGAGCGAGACAGCAGCAGCTGCCGTCGTCGTCGCCGCCTCCGTTGCCGCCGGAAGCTTGTGCGCGGACCAAGTCGAAATGCAACGAGGATCTCGAAACGTCGTCGCGGCCGCGGGGCGACGAAGCGGAGGTTCGCGGTCGAGGTTCGAACGAATGCTCGACGGAGCAGCGGAGGGACGACGAAAACGACGGTGGAGTTGCAATGGCGAACGGTGAAGCCAAGGTCGCGCACGAGATCGTGGTGAACGTCAGCCCGAGCAGGGAAGACGTGCTGAGGATCGAGGAGGACGAGAGCCAGCTGGAGGACTATTGGTCCTTGCCGGGGGACACGAGCGGGTTCAAGGCGGATTGGAGCTTCGTGCAGCAGTGGCGGCTGAGGGGGTAAATTCTCACGCACGCTCGCTCGCTCGCTCGCTCGCTCGCTTGTCGTTGTTGAAAGGAGAAAAAAAATGGATGTTGCCTTTCGGCGAGTCGAGATTCCTCTCTCCGCATGCTCGTCGTTCTCGCACGTTGAGCACGATATATTGCTATTTCCGCGGGCCGTGCCTGTTGTTCCGAGTCGTGCGTGCTAACGAGAGGCGCTGATTAACTCATTAACGATCAACGTCTCATTTTTTAGACATTTTATTCCGAACAAAACAACTTGAGTAACGAACGATATTTCGTTAAACTTTCACCTCTCTGTCCGATTTCTAGATATTAAATCTGAAAATCTGAAAATTTAAAGATCACAATCAGCAACTGTTTTATGATCTTATCCGCGCGACACGGGTTTAGGAAATACAAAGAATTAAACTATAAAAATTTCCATTGCACTTATACGAGAGTATCAATTAATCATTCACTCATTTAATTACACACAAACGTATGAAAAATCATTTCTTTTCGTGAAAACTCGTCTCAAGAGTGATTGAGCAATTCATTGTTCATCTTGCGAGGAGCGTAACGCTACCGATTTACATGTCGAAGCGTGTTAAAGCCGGGAGAAATAAAGTGAAATTATAGATTCCTGTTTTCTCCGGTCGTAAGATAAAATACTGAATCACGGTTGTACATTTATCTCGCGGGACGGACGAATGCATATCTAAACATGTCACCGATTTTGCACACTCACGAAGAGCGTTCGGCGCTCTGTAATTCATAATTCATAAGCGACGCACGCTGTGTAATTGCACCGATGCGCGTTCGAATCTCTTATCTCTCCGTGGTCGTTTAATTTTTCGCGCGCGTGACTGATGGATGCTCGTTCGAATATAAAACGTTCATCGCTCTGTATCGAATCGATATCATGTAATGGGACGTGCGTGTAAATCGTCGTGTTAAAGCGCTTCGAATCAGCATTACGTCCGTGATTACGAGTTGTCTTAAGAATCCTAGTCCGGGCACGCTGATTTATTCCCCTCGCACAAACGGTCTGTTCTTCGCCGAAGAAATCTAGATGATGCCCCGCTAATGCTCGAATCCCAACAGTGATGCTTCTCAAAGTGCATAATAAGTGCATTCAAGTTGAATGCCTTTGGACTGCCTCATCGCGTATTTTCTTAGAACTCTTTCTCCTCCGGATAAATGTCACGGTTTTTTTGCAATGTTTTTATGAATTAACAGAAACTGACACTTGATGGTATAAGAAAATAAATACGTAATACACTTCTCTTTGTTGAAATTACAACACAGAGAGGAATCTTCGAGATATAATTGCGAAATTTCTCTTATTAATTAATTATGCAAGAATAGATCAATGATTACATTTATGATTTTTAATGTCGCGGTTTCGCGACGAAACAGTACATATCCAGTGAGCAGTAATAAATAATTACGAAATTAAAAGGAAACACTACACTATCAGAAATGACCGAAATTAGAAATAATCGCTCGAGACAAAATCCAATTTCTTGACCTGTTAGCGTTATCTTAGCGTGTATCCCTCTAATGTCGAAAGAGTCGTGTCTGAAAAGTGAAATGAGGAGAGCGAGTTAAGTGCTTCGGCCTGAACATGTGTTGCGCACTTTTCGCGTAATCGTATATACCATAACTGGGAATTGATTTGTCTGATATGCTACCCGCATTGCTGCGTTTTCTGTCTCGCGTATCTCGGTATCGCAGATACCGAGCGCACGGTTTGCGCAACACTTGGCGTCGGGCTTGAAAGTTGTCGAACCTAAATGCCCGGTCATCGATATCGACTAGCAATATCGCGCAATTGAATATAATAGCGTTCATGTACAAATTTCAAAAGGCATTCGGTGTTTTCAGCCAGAATGCGCAATTTAATATAATTGAGCGATATGTCTTTTTTTAATTCAAATAACTTGAGGATCACAAGAAATACATTTATTCGGTTGTTTTCTATAAAGCGCTCAATGCATTTTTTTAGCATCTTTTAATATTGCTTTCTTTCGTATAAAAATGTGCGGATAGTTGTATTGACATTTCAAAAATGTTGAAAAATTTGACAATCCTAAAATATCTCATGT